ATATACTCCAACTTCCTCTTATTTCCCAATAGTGCCATCTACCAGCAGAGTAACAAAGAAAGTAGGCCATTTTGGACAGTAATTTTACAGGCCCGAAGTTATATATTTCTAAATTTTAAGGAATGATTACGCGATTCTTCAGTCAAACACTGGTCCATCCTTTTTCATTTCCTGACATCTTTATTGCTTGAATTTCAAATTTGTCAAATCTCGATCTTGAATGAAACACGATATACAAAAAACGCACTTTTCGGGCCCGTGAACTCGATAAGTCTTTCGAGAAGCGAGCCCCAGCATCCTCATTGCTCCTAGGAACAGCAGTGTTTATGGTGTTATTTTTGAAAAATCGAGTAAAAAAGATGATCGAGATTTCTAGCCTAGTTGTCTGTATGAAGAAAGATTTGAAACACCTATCATAAGCGTTGTAACCACCACTGTTTGGATTGTTTGTCTTTTATTGTTTATATATAATTACATGTAAATAACGTAATGTTGTTACTATCCCCAGCTTGTCACAGTTTCAGAAGACTCTAGTGTCAGAGTATGGAAGCTTTCTGCTGATAGCAGTCCAACGGTAGGTTTTTCAGCAAGGATTACTTTTTGCTGTAATTTTTGTGATTGGCTAATCGCCCATGAAGATCCTTCGTTGTGATTGGACATTGTGATACTTTGAATTTGCGACTCTGAACTCCAAGCACAGGAAAACCTGATGAAAGGGGGTAATTTTCTGAACAAACTGTGGTGCTGCGTCGTTGGGAGAGTATAATTAAACTCCAAGCACAGGAAAACCTGATAAAAGGGTGTAAGTTTCTAAAGAAACTATGGTGCTACGTCGGTGGGAGAGTATAACTGGATAATTTAATATTATCGACTGAGTCGATAACGTAAATTGGTCTCCGTAAAGAGTTTAAATGGTAACGTTTTGATAGAACTGGCCAATCGCCCTGACGAAGGGCTAACGCTCGAACCTTTAGCTTTGAAACTCTTTACGGTGGCCAATTTCCGTCAACAACTCGCTTAATAATACCAAATTACCCTGAATGACTGATAGCCTACAAACAGGCCCCCATCGCGGCAGAATGAGCGTTTTTCAGCCTGCGAGAACATTTAAATGGTCTGGCACTAAAGAGTGTCAGACCATTCGCAGACCTCTAGATGACTCGCGTTTCTCAAGTGCTGAAATATGCTCGCTGGCGAAGAAACGCTAGTACTGAAGCGCTAAAATTGACGACGGCCAGCTCGCAAGCTGAAAGACCAAGTACTTTGGTTCTATTCAAACTTTACATCTGATTAGGTTGATCGGTGGCAAGAGGTTTCTCGACCAATCACAGAGCGTAAAACAGCAAACCAAAGCAATCCAGGATGCCTTTCGGCACTCATTGGAAATTTCGCTTTAACATTTGACATTTGACATTTGATTCTATTGCCGAAATTTTTTTCTTTCAGATGGAGATGGTATTTCAACAAGTCATTGCAGATACCCAGCTGTGTGGAGCAAGATTCACAGACTTGTCAGGAGACTCCTTTGGTGTGACTGGATATGACTTAGCAGAGATAATAATGTTCTCCAAAAAATAGAAATTTCCATAATTTATTCCCGGTTACCATAACGTCGAAAATTTCCCATAACGATTACTTCGTGGGTGCGTATCGAAAGTGGTTTTGCCAAAGGTAAGCCCGCAACTCCACGGCCCAGCAGGTCAGCGGCCCGCGGTATTCTTAAGGTCCAATGCCTGGCGACTCACTTTACTGCCACCTCTCCAATGGGTGCTCCAATATGTCACGCTCTTGTAGCTCGTGGCAATAAAATGATAAAGATGAAATCCGAGAACTTTGAGAATGAATGTCTGTTTAGCCGGCAGGTTCTGTGATTAAAAAACGTTCAAAGACTAAACATTTTCCCCATGCAAAACGAAAGGAGATGTAGCAAAGCTTGCAAATGGTTGAAAATATAAAAAAGCACGAGCACAAAGACTTGCCATTATTCGTCTTCAGAGTTCACAATTTTGGTATGTATATGTTGTCCGCTGACCATGAAAAGTAGCAATGAAATGAGCCGCAGGCCGCGGGCTGCTCTTGGCAAAACCCTTTCAAAGAGACGTTGGTAAAACCTAACTTTGTTTTTTTTTCCTTTCTGACTTTTACTGGGCCTCATTTTGTTGTTTTGCATTGTATTGTTTCCATTTAATACTCTTAGATACATATTTAATTAGCCGTAGCAACAGCGCTATTTGCAGCTTGAAAATCCTCTACATAACATGACATAACGCTATAAATATCGGTGCAGTAACCAGCTTAACAGTTTAAAATAAATTTTATCTTGTTACATATCAAGGGTTTTAGTTCTTTAAAAATGATATGATTATCGAGATTAACCTTTTTGTTATTTACAAGTAAGTTAGACTCCATTGCCGTTGTTCAAATTTGCAGCCGTTTTGGCTGGAAAAAGACAGCAAATTCTGTTCTTTTTTTCTGTAAATAGGGCAGATCACATACATAAACTGGGTTTTGATATAGTGCTTTTGGAAGGAGTTTGTCTCTTGCGGTGGCAGTTTTACTTGTAAATAGCTGATTAATCGCCAATAGATTACTGTACTTACAACTGACGCAGTTTCGTCTCAAAATCCTCTTCATGACGTTGTACATATAGTACTCGAGCGAATCAATTTGATCCATCAAGAGTTGTAGTAATTTTAAAAATTTTGCAATTATACAGATTAACCTTTCGTCAGTTGTACCGACAAATTCTGCTTTCCTCTCTGTTGAATTGAGCACACATATCGACCACGTGAACTGAGTTTTACGATTCAGGGCCCGCTTTTTGAAAGAAAATTCAAGAACAAAGTAGTAAAATTAAGCTAATTTAGGGTTAAACAGGTCTCATTTACGATTTGAATAAGTCAGTTTTCCAGAGATTTTCATCAACATCATTTTCGCTGCTTGAGGGTCGACGACAAAGACGAGTGTTAAAGAAGAGTAGTGAACCTTGATTAACCAGTATGATTAGGATAATTAGCTTGTGAAAATCCGTCGACATAAGTGTTTCTGACGTATTTCAGCGACAAAAAAACTCTTTGTTCAAATCATAGACACGATTTAAGTTCAAATATTCATAATCCACAGAGCGAACTTTGAACGACGCCAAGGTACATTCTAGGTTAGTACAAAAATTAACGAACACCGGAAGTCTTCTCATGGCGACATATGAAGATGCCGTGGGTTTTGCCAGTGTTTGAAAATATGATCATAAAATTTCTTCGTTGGTTATTTTTCCAGATAAATAATGAGCTATTTCTTCGATGCTGAAGTTACCTAAGTAGAACGCCAGCAGTTCAAAATAAATCCGTTTCAGTTGTTGATTAGAGAAGATTCGGTTTTTTTTTTGTTACATCTTTATTTATTCTAAATGAACTGCAAATTATCGGTTTGAAGTAAAAGTACCAGTCACATACAGTGTACTTTAAAAAAATAACTGGGAAAATTATTAAATAGTAGGTACACTTTGATTTGGATAGTTATTGAGAAGTGATTTGTAACCATCAGCCGAGCTATTTATAAGATATTAATTCTAATTATATTTATCAATAATGGTAGATCTGTCTATGAGTCACTTCAATTTCAGTATCAGAGAGTTGCTATGATGGCGACTCATCTTGCACAAATATCGTTAATACTTAAATTTAGTTATAAATTAGTGTTCGTTTATTCGAGGGAAATATTCGATGAGTTATAAAATTTTTTGCTTTCGTGCAGATAGAGAACTAATCTGCATGGTTTGTAGTAAACTTAATGTAAATTTTAACTTTGTCAACAACCCGTGACATGCTTATGCAATTATCACTGTGAAACTAAGGTGTGGTCCCAGAGTGCATGTGTATTTGAACCTTCTTTTCGACAGGAATAACGATGATTTCGATGTAATTATCTTAATAGGAGACAACCTTGCATTAGCTTTAATGCAAATAGGAAGCTAATGAAGGACTCCTTTAATGGCAAATCATAGCCTACGCCCTCACACATATAAATGAATGAAGTGACGTTACATTAAAGTGGTTGAACTTAAAGAAACACTGTTCCGTGTCTCAGTTATTTTATAAATGGCAAGCTTAAGAACGAAAATGGCTAGGAAATAGCGAAATAATTTTCTTTCTTTTTTTTTTTTTGCGTAGAATGCGAGACTGATTTGGCCTTGATGCAGTTCAAAAGAACTTCCTATTCCTATTGATCTTGGATGTAGAGACTCGATGAATCTCTCACCGGTTTAGATCCTTGTAATTTTTTTTTGTCGTTCATGTTGCTGCTTTTGTTAGGGACAAAAAAAAGTTACAACCTGAAATTGTTGAACTGAAATTTTTGTATTTTGAATTATCAATTCTTTTCCTCAAGTAAGAGGTTTTTGAACGAAATATTTGAGGTTTGAAAACCGTCAGAAAGTAAGTCTAACTTGACAACAACATTACCACCTGTTCTGTAAACTTGACTTTTGTTTCGCGGCAAATGTCTAACTCACCTTTCATTGGCTGAGACCTGTCCAATCAGAGTTCAGCAAACATTGGTGCTTGTTTCAGCACCGCGCTGAGCGACCCTCGCAATAGAGCAGACATTTTGTTTTGTCCTTCTTAAATGAGGGAACCAAACTTATACCATAAACAAATGGATGTACGTTGGACGTTATAAGACATGTTATTTAACGAGTGAAGAGCTTGGACAGCGTCCAGTTAAATCAGAAGCGGGTAAGTTAACGGTGGCTCTTACTGCTCGGAGTTGTATGCCACACTTGTTGATACTGTGAAAGCTTCAAATCATACATTTGTCAACTGGCGATGGTCATTCACAAAAACAACCAACCGGAGGATTAAGTGGCCATGTGAAATTGCGACTCACTTTACGTGTTATGTGATCTATATCCTGTTAAATCACCCACGATATCCGGAATTAGATAGAGGCAAGATCGAGGAACCAAGCGCCAGCTTTAGTTGCGTTACCCTTTGTATATACCAAGCTAAAACTGACTATATTTAGCCTTGAATATTTACCTGAATGAAAGTTGGTGAAAGGAACGCATGATTATTGTTCGGTGACTAGCAGTGGGTCAGAAAAACTTATCGATCCTTTTTCTCTGCAAAAGATTGCGCCTGAATTAACTTTTATAAAGGTTAATCTGAGTAAAGTTTGTTAAGGCACAAATGTAGTTATAAGCTTAAAACGATCACATGAAGTGAAGCGTACATTTGTGCAATTCGATCGGGCTCAGTGACCCTTTGTTATTGTAATGACTCTCGCTTTCTTTGTTCGAACGTTATTCAGCTCAACCAAGTCTTCGCACAGCTTCCTGCTGGACATCAAACACTCAAACAGACGCTCGAACTTCTGATCGAAGCTTCGGGGAGGCTTCGAACGCTTCGAAAACGGCCGATTCTTGGAACTGGAGGATGCCCAGTGTCCCGCTTCCAAGCCCAAGCTATTCAACGGGGTAAATTATACAGCATAATCTTTATAATTTTTTATTTTACGGTACGCTGCGGCAAACCTGCTTTGGATCGACGCATTTTTCTTGCTTCCGTCGTGATCATCGATGCATGCAAGCGTAATAGACATAGCCTGATTTCAGACGGGGTGCTTTGCAGTTTTGCAACTCGTTCTCTTTGCGTGTTTGCCGCTTATTGAGTTTGTATAATAGGATCGAAACGACACGGCGCAAAAAGTTAATCGATCGTTTACCAATCTTTCCTTCTCACTTCAGGCGTCATACTCCGTATTACACCCATCCAGATGTGAGAATCTATGAGCTCAATCGTCGCTTACAGCACCGGATAGAGGTAAGGCGATGTCAAGGGTTGCTAGCATTTGTTACTGTACCGTGAAAGGCAAAAGCAGATATTTTTTTCACCGCGAGGGTCGTCACGAACTTAGGAAACGATCGTTGGTACTGTCTGCGGGGTCATATGGACAGATTTCACTCGAGTTTAATTTTACAGGCTGAAACTGCCGAAGATTTACACTCGAAAGGGAACTGGCTTGCTAACAAAGGCCTACGATAGCTCTCCATTATTTATTGTAGTATTCAAGTGATGGCAAAATACAATATGTTTTGCTCTTTGTACCCAGTAAAGAGATAAAGTAATATTGATCGTGAGGTTTTTGATTTGTGAAATAAAAGGAAAGAAAGGAGGTTGCAGAGGAGTTGTATCATAGCTTTCCTAACCTTTACAGTCCGTTAAAATGAATTTTATTAGGCATACAGTCAGATAACGATATGTCCATTCCAAAATGAATTTATTAATGATCTTCAAAACATTATTAATGCCTACTTAGTATACTTAACAATTGCTGAAATATTCTGTCGGTAGTTTAGCCTATTGTTATCATGTCACTTGTCAAACTGCTGTTACTGATCCTTTTAGAGAAATATGAGAAGCTCTTCCTGTTTTAGTTTTTCTTCCCAACTTCATTGATAATGCAACCAAGCCCATTATTTACAGCCAAAATACATACAAAAGAGAAGTTTCACCACAAGACAGTCTAAACGATTATATAAAGTTTCATCTGTAATAGCTAAGCTTCTGAACATGTTTAATACTAGGAAATTTTACACACCAACCTTTCACTTAACTATACAATTCAATTTCTTAGAGTGAAACTTAATCCACCTTGTTTTGAAAACACAAGTGTAAGGAGTGGTCCATATATATTTGGGTCAGGTAAACCGAAAAGTTACCACAAAAATTTATATCACAGATTGAAGAATTCCATTGACAGAAGATATCATTTCCTATTATTTAAAGTGGTAACATCTTGTACTCCATGAAAACTTGCAAGGAGAGGCATTTACGAAAAAAGATTTATAATGTTTGAAAAGAAATGTATCAAGAACAGTGTGGAAAATATTCATAACGATGTTAGGGTGTTAAAGGTTAATGTCTGCTAATCTCTTTTTATTTCAGGATGCTGATAATGTTTGGTGGGATGCATTTGCATCAGAATTTTTTGATGATGACGCTACCCTGACATTAAGCTTTTGCTTGGAAGATGGGCCAAAAAGATATTGTATGTCTCACTTAGAGCCTCTTTAAATCCTTAATGACCACACCTTTATTCATATTTTTTAGTCATTTTTGTTAACTTTTTGTTAACTTTTTTACCCCCTTACTTGGATATAACTAGATTTGCAAGACTTGAATTTCAGAATCTGGTAGAAAATGTTGGGAAAATATGTCACAGTCTGTAACTTCCTAAATATTGATGAGAATAGTGCCATAGAGAAGCTGTTGTCCTTTTTCTGATTGGTCTATTTATCCGTTAAAGCAAATTATTGTTAAATAGGAGGAACAAAACTTTGGGTGAATAGAGAGAACTGTAGGGCTGTGTTAGCCTCTTTTCACCAGCATAAGCATGTTTGGGATTTTCTTGGAGGCCACATTTGGCATCATGTTTTTTTTAATAAACACATATTTAGCAAAATTTGAATTAAAAAAAGACTCCTTGTGTGGTTCTCTGGAATGTCCAAACCCTGTGGAGAGATTTAGGAATTTGAGAAACTTAAAATTTATGGAACTTAGGATGAAATTTCTTAAGGCGTTTGGAACAATATACAATTTTATATGTGAGTGTGATAGAAATATTTACAAGGACAGTGCATTGCTCTTTGGTCTCACACTTTTAACATTTTTTTCCCTTTTTTTTTAAAAATTCTTTTAGCTATTGGACGGAACTTGATTCCAAGATATTTCCGAAGTATATTTGAAGGGGGAGTCAAAGAACTGTATTATCATGTGGTGCAGCCAAAAGAGTCCTACCACAACAACACTAGTACAATAACATTAGACTGTGAAAATACAACGATGATTACACATCATAAAATGCCAGTCTTCACCAAGGTTTGTATCACAGGTGGTCTGCTCCTTGTTGGGTGGTCATAAGTGTTGATTAGGTAAACATAAACACTTCATAACCTTGTCCAAATTGAGGACTAAAAATCGAAAATTTGTCACATGGAGAAGCTTTCCTTGTAGTAAGATAAGACATGGTCCAACAGATACACAATTAAATTTTCAATTCAATAGTGACAACAATTCTTAATTTTAGTGACCTTTGTGCGACAGGGTACAGCATCTTACATGTTAACCCTTCAACTTCAAAGATCTGATTGTTAATTCTTCTCTCTAGTTGTTACACATTTCCTTGTAAATTGGTTACAAGAATTGGGTGTTAGATCAAGATTACAACTTTTACTGGATTGGTTTGAGTAGTCTCATTATCTCTTTGCCTACCAAAGTATGGATGTTGCAGGGTGGAGTTGCATGTCTATCTCTTCTGGGTTAAGATTCAGTTCACATTTGTTTGGCTGCAGTGACTTCAGGGAAAATGAAACTTTTAAACCAAATTTTACAGTTTTAGTGTAAACACAAAAGTGACCAACCAAATTAGCAGAAACGCTTCTCAGTCATCTTTTGTTCCTTCCATCCTGAGCATTTGTTGACATGATTGAATTTAGTTTGAAATCATTGTTCTTTCCCTGTGAGGTGATTAGTCAAATTGATTCATGTGACGCTATTAACAGTAGTGACACAATAATTTTCAGCCATAGCTGTACTTATCTATATTTTGTATTGGTTGAAAGATTGTGATATACAATATGTATTTGCCCTCCAGTAGACAAACAGGATGGTCCCAGTGACTCTTAGAGGGAGGGTTGAAGGGTCCATATCCCCTTTCCCCACCATACTTCTGATGGAATATTGATATTTTTTATTAGATTTGTCTAATGTCTAATTGCAGGGGGGGGGGGGTTGGATGGAGATTGTTTGAGAAGTAAACCTCCCTCCCTTGATCCACCCCTGATCCTCCTGATATATTAGACTGGAATTTTGATCTATTTATGTTTAGTAATGAAAGACCTTTTTTGACAAATACATCATACATGTATGTTCTTGTCGTGTTGCAGGTTTGTACAGAAGGCCGTTTGTTACTGGAGTTCACAATGGATGAACTAATGAGGATAAGAAACTGGCATTTTGCCATTCGGCATTACACTGAAATGATCCCACGCAATGTCATTGTTGGGGCTCAAGATCCAAACTTTTTGGATCAGTTGTCCAAGAATATTACAAGACAAGGAATGACAAATGTCACCCTGAATTATCTAAGGGTAAGAATGGGGAATTTTATTTCGGAGAAGTTCAGGTCAAGTCTTAAGGGAATGTCATTTCTGAACTCAGGTCATTGTGGTCTCTTTATGGGTTCCCTCACAGCACACCCAGAAACAATCACTGAATGCTGAAATGTGAATTTTAACATGACCTTTTTATGTTTTTTAATAACTGGTTCTTCTTCTCAAAATACTGTGGTCCTGCTATATAAAATAATGTACAACTCTTTCTTCATAAAACTTTTTTCCAACCTTTTTTGTTTAAATTTTTTTGTGATGAGAGCTTTGCTCAGGCAGCAAACCGATGTATGAGTGATGCAACACACCCATGGCTATATAAATGTGATAAAGGAATATTCCCTAAAATCTGCTATACAAACCAGTCGGTGCTGATAATTTGTTGCCTGTGTAATGTTATCCTTCTGGCGTTCCCATTATAATTCTTTCTAAAAACAAACCTGTTGAATTTCTTACAGCTTTGCGTCATTCTGGAACCAATGCAAGAGCTCATGTCTCGTCACAAAACCTACAACATGAACCCCAGAGGTGAGCTACTGCAAGTCTCATGATTTGAACCTGTATTTAGTTCTAAGCTGTAAAGAGACTTTTTCCCATCATTTTTTACAGATCTTAATGAAGGATTGAAAAATTATGTAAAGATCTTCATAGTAAAATAGGAGTTTGCGAAGCTCATCTGAAGTGGCTCAGGAGATATTGATTAGGCATCCAATAAGATTTCAAACAAGTATTCTTAAAGGAACAGATCATTGCCAATCCGAAAAGACATCATTTGTTTCTGTCGTTTGCCAAGACTTTTCGTATAATGTTACTCATTTATCTTTGATTATCTATGCAACATGCATAATATGAAATAAAACTTCAAATGTTCAAACTTTAGACAAAAATGATTTTTTGTGTCTGCAGATTGTTTGAAATCCACTCTTTTCCAGAGATGGCAAAGAATGTGTGCCCCTCCAGGTATTGAGCAAATTATATTATTCTGCTTTTTTGTTTTTTCAGAATTTGAACTGATTTCTTTTTAGAATTTGGCATAGCATTTTATTTCAAATTTTTGGTAACTTTGCTCTATGGTTTCTAATTTAATTTAGAATGTATTTAAATAAATTGTGATTGCCCAGGTTTAGTTAGTTCTGAAGAGGACTACTGTTGGTAACAGAGACTGAATTTATGACACACTGAGCAGAATTCATAATAAGAGGCTAAAAGTGTCCAAAAGTGTCTCTTAGATAAGATAGATAATGAGGGTATGCAGAACAAGCAAGGGATTAACCCTTTAACTTCCAAGATCCAATTGTGAATTCTCCCTTCTAGCTTCAACTCATTCCCTTGTAAATTAGTAACGGGAATTTGGTGATAGATCAAGATAACAACTTCTACCCGTCTTAGTTTGAATATTCTCATTACCTGTTTGCTCAATAATGTATGGATATTTTAGGGAGAAGTTGCATGTTAATCACTTTTGGGAGTTAAAGGATTAAAGGAAATAATTTGCAAAATGATTACCATTTTGCACAAGCTGAGCTAACTGATTGATCCTGACATACATATCTTTGCAAATCTTACCACAGATTATAACCAAGGCAACGAAATGATGTGGCAGCCGAATACTCCAACTACACCAGGTAAGGTCTTGTTTTGCCTAATTTGGTTTCACTCTGTAGGTTTTGCTAACTTAGTATTATTTTCCTTTGATTTTATTGATTTCCTTTTTAGTTTTAAAAATAACATGTTTGTATTGGTTGCTTGTGTTTAGCAGAATTCCTTTCATCATTCGATAAGGTTATCCTTGTAAGGTTTTTGTAAACTCACTATCAGGGCTACTCAGAAAATTTTGCAAGATTTCCAAAGTAACTAATTTTTTGGCATTTGGCCAAAGTGGTGGTTGAGAATATTGATTTTTTTTTTAAATTTTCTTTTTTGGCCAGTTTACTTTTAAATTTACATTGAAGAGTCCAAAGCCCTGATAGTCAGAACCCATATGCCCAAGATCAGTTTCTTTTGAGCCATGACAAAAATGTCCCCAATGGCCATTGGTGATGTAAAGTTTGTGCATGTTCATTAATTGCTCAAGCAGTTGATGAGATTCAGACAAGAATGCTCATAAGACCTGTCATTCAGGGCCTTTATTGCGGCAGTGTAAAGTCATGTAAATAAGTACTCAGCTGAGAAGCCAGTACTTTCAGCCCCTAAACATGGCCACCCTGGTTGAAAGACTGTTTCATGGCAGCTAGGACTGTATTTTAACAAGGAGCCATTTTTTTTAACCTATCCAATGCATGTAAGTCAAAAATGGCTGCTGGATGATGATCCTAAATTAGAAGAGCACACATCTTATATATACCTGTTTTACCCCAAAGGATCCCCTTTTCCTAAACTTCTTGAGAGAACCTTGACTGGGCAGCCTGCTTCCAAAAAAGGTTAGCCTCAGTTCCAATCTTAAACAGTGTTTGATCATAGGTAGACTGGCTTGGTCAACATAGGCTAGCCAACGTTTTTTCCACAGGAAAACCAGCTTGATACTTGACTACGATCGTCTTAAGGCCTTTTGTCTGGGGAATTTTGCAGTTTAATTCTGTTTTAAAATTGAATCAGTCTTAAGGAGTCAAATCTTGTGGTCAAACACTGTTTGAAATCTTAGAGAGAGCATGAAATACTTAAAACAGGGATCCAAACTGCAGCTGCACTGTGTATTTTTAGTAGACATTGCAGACAACATTCAAGTGTCTTCTGTTTTTCAGAAACCCAACTGCACAATTGTAAAGCAGATTTGGGCTCTTCTGTGCCCTGGTTGATGTTTTTAAAGCATCTTATCCTAGTGTTACCAATTTCCCAGAATTGACCTTTTCAATTAATACAAGGCTGTTGCAAAAAAAGTCTGCTATATTTTGCAACAGTGCAATCATTGTTTCGCTGAAAACGTTTCGCTGTTGAAGAATTTTCCGTACTAAGCAGGCGTTTAAGTTAGAAATATTGTAAATAATTTAGTTTTTCCAACTTTATTGCAAAAACAAAATAAAAATCCCCTAATCCGCATATGCAACACATATTTCCAGAGAATTGCTATCAACATTCAAGTCTACCAATTTTCCTGAGGTCTCTTCACCATGTCTTAACAGGAAATATTTTTTACAAGTTAGTCGCGAGCGTTGGACCAAAAAAAATTGAAGTCTAAGTACCTGGTGAGGATTTTCACCGTGGACTTTTCCATTTCCAATTCAGAGATTTTAGTAGAGATATCCTTTATCCTGTAAAATTTATTTCCACGGAGTTAGGCCTCGCACTACGTCCTAAAAAGAGGAAGACATGAGGATATAACCCCAGCCATTCCCCACTTTATGGTCAGATGTTGTATCATTAAGCCACAGAGAATTCTGTGGTGCGTCAGGTCATTTGAAATGGGACGCGCGTCTTTCATACTGCCAGAGTCGGCAGTGTCAAAAGCGTCCCGAGCGAAGATAGAGTAAAAATTTTGAGCTTAGACCCTCATCGAATAAAGAATGTTGGCAGACATTTTTCCTGAGCTTAAGTAAAACAAAAACCTGAGAATTCAATAAATTCTATTTTTGCTAGTGGATTAAGTGATAATGGTAACTATAGGGTGACGGTGAAGATGGGAGACATCTTACCCGCAAGAAAGCTAGTAAGGCAGCAGTTTAAATCGTTATCCTTACTAACTCACTCTAAACCGAGGGTTCCCTTTGTGAGTTTGGTTTCTTTCTTATTGCTCTCTTACATTTCCTGAAATTAATGAATTAAGTTTCTTGTTTCCCACCAGCAGAAACGCCTCGTCCTACGAGGACAAGGCGGAAACGGAAACCTACAAATACAAACTCATCGACCCCTAATACTGGGATGAACAGCACTTCCGGCAAAAAGAAGTCGCCAAGTGCGTCCGGGTTTACTCTGGCGACCCAGGATGTAATGGTTGTCGGCGAACCTTCTCTGATGGGCGGCGAATTCGGAGACGAAGATGAGCGGCTCATTACAAGGTGAAATGTTGTTCTGTCATTGATAAAAAAGAGGTTAAGCCGTGCTCACACCAGTTAGTTTCTCGTAACAAGTGGTGCAGATGTCAAGGGAACTTTTGTTTTATTCATTAGCGAAGAAAACGTGTCAGTAGTATTTGATAAAGAAAATTTGCTAAACCCGATGTTAAGTTATGGGTGTAGTGTACTTCAGAACCTAGTAAGTTTTACCTGCGCTATCGAAAGTATCATAAATTTCAACAAAACTGATCGCGTGTTAAGGTTTCAAGAATTAACTTCAAGTGTGCTTAAAATTCGATTATGGAGGCCGCCATTTTGATTCTTGCTTAGCAACCTAGCCACTCGCCTTCGACGTAAAGAACACTCTTTTCCCAGGACACGACTTCTTGTTCGAAAGCCCACGTCGGTGTCTACTAAGGATAAAATGTTGCGTTTTCGTTTTACTGTCGAGCAACATTAAAGGAAAAGTTGAAAAGGAAACCAGCTAGTGTTAATGCGGCTGTTGAGGAAAACGTAGAAGTTCCAATGAGACCTTGCACTACTGCTAAAAAAAACTAGCAGGCTTCGACGAGATTCGAATTAATGTGTGGGAGCCAGGTACTTAAATCTAGTCGAAGCCTTGATTTTCGTAGGCTTCTTTTTAATAGTAGTTTATTCCCTTATTTAACCCTTTATAATGTTATTTGAAATGCTGCCGTTGGTAATATGCATAGATAGTTCATGTAGATTATTCTTAACCCTTTGCACTCTAACATCAGTATGTATATTCTCCATACTGCTCTCTATAAATTCTTAAGGTCCTGACAAGGAGAATTTGTTTAACAGTCAAGAGCTTTTTTAGTTGGTGATCATTTCCTATATTCTTGTTACTCTTATGGGTGACTTAGGGGTGATATTGTGAGGAGAATTTAGATGTTAGTCGCTTCCAGGGGACAGAAGATTAAAATGTGGGGTGTGAATATCCAGTAACGGTTCTTCTTCACTTCAGATTGGGTTGTGATGATGGTGAGAGCAGTTTCCTTGACATTAGGCCCTCGGTGAGTGTTTATCCTCCCTCTCGCATTAATTTACCTCTGACAAATAGATAATGAGCTGATGATCCAAAGACTTAACACCTCGCAGAATTTGTCCAATTACGATAAATGTAAATAGGGGATCATTTGGTGAATGCGTTTTAACTGTTTCCTCCCGTTGATTTACGTACTGTAAGGTCGATATTCACGAGCCGTTTTATTTTAAAATTGTGTTATTTTGTCAGAGGGAAATTGAAGAGGGAGGGTGAACCGAACGACAACTCTGACCTTGCACTGTATTTAAAGCGATAGAAGACTTTTTCTTTGTGTGCAAAACTTCGTCTGTCGCCAAGGGAGCTGGGAGACTGCGAGACAGTTATGCTTATCCGCGTTTCGGGGTTTCCTTACTTTCGAGAGTTCTTCCAACTTTGCGATGGTTACATAACCACAGAGAAGAGTTATTTTGCTTTCAAACGATATTTCTCAAAATATATGTGATAATCGAGAACGTCACATCCGCGTTTACATACCCTAGTCTAAACACGTGTATCGACCAATCAGAAAGCCCGTGGTATCTCTGTTATTGTTTGATAAAAATTGCAGATTAAAAATCGAAGTAACACTCGAAAATTATGATCTTAGATTTCGCTTAAATGAAATATTATGACAAACATTTGTCGAGATCCAACGGCGTTGTTTAATAGATTCACACGAGACAAGTTTTCTAAATGTTGAGATAAGCATTGCACAAAGCGGTTTCATCAACAATTTACCCCTAAGCGTTGTGGGAGAGGCCGGGAGAGGGATGTAAGACGCAAATTGAAAATTTTTTATTAAGATACTGGAGATCAAGTGTTGGAATATTTCCCTTCTCGCGAGTGAAAGGGAAAAGTTTTTTTTTCTTTTCTTTCGTAAGTTCATCTTAGTCATTGCTAAATTTACACGAGTACTATTTAGAGCATCCGTCGTGACCAATCGTATCAGTGATATCTTTGATTTCCACTTTCAGACTGGAGAACACTCAGTATGATGCCAGCAATGGTGTCGGCGACGACGGAGACTTTGGTAACAGCCCTATGAGTGGAAGTCCGAGCCTTTGGAGTGCGGACAGAAAACCTACTCAAGACGACAGTGCCGGAGACTGACAGAGAAGCACTGGC